CAAAATGTTCTTTTCTAGGCAAACGTCTAGTCCGCTCGGGTATCCCAGCAGTCATATTTGAAGCTCATCGTTGTGCACATCCAAGTTGGCATTATTACATTCCTAGTGGATATGTATTACTGATGACTTATTATAAATAAGAAACAACCGCTATTTGCAACTCTTAGTCCTGACTCATTTCGCCCTGACCGCGAGGATCATTGCTGAATATGACATGTCGTACATCGGTGAATTTGAACAGTAGGGTCGATTGTGCGCAGTGAATAGATCCAAACTGTGATATCATATTCCCCGGCATTTCAGGTCATATTTAATTTCTCCTCTGTACAGTGAGTATCGCCAAAGTTACATCATTTGCTTGATTCTAAACATCCCAAATTCNCCCAAATTCCCATATTATGGTGTTATGGTTTTGATCTCTCCAAAACGAAATGGCCGTAGAGTAAATCAGATGTAAAATAAATCCAGATAATTCTTCGTGAAGATAAATAATCAGGTCACTGAGCTCAATCTTTGTCCAATGGATGGGCGAGTAAAAATACGGCTGAGAGAAATCAAGGAATGTTAGCATTTCACGTGTCATTTTCTTTCCAGTGATTTCGCTAAACTCTGGATTAGATGTCAGATATCAACATCCAAATAGACCATTAAAAAAGGCACAAAATGTCGAAACTTATTACAGCTGGTTACATTTTTCGTTATCATTAAGATATTAATCAAACGGACTTCCCAGTTTACGAAGTATCGATTCACATGACAAATGTTGCGCATTAAGTATAACCCTTTGAATGGGACCATATAGTATAGGCGCGGTTCCGTTTTGCCTGTTCATGATTATATCTCTAAAGGGTTACTGTTCAGTTACTATCGTGGAGATTACCAATCAGTGACCAACGTTTCATTAAGAACCGGCACTACATTTTCCATTTGGTAATTACTACATTGATGGATGATGAAACCCTTTTGTCCGGTTAAGTTAAGAGGTGGTGGTGGCGCAGTGGTTTAGTCGCTGTCACCGGCGTGCTTTGGACCCTGTGGTCCGAGGTTCGAGCCCCGCCACCCGACTTTGGTGGTAGGCAGCTCTGCTGTCGTCCGGTTCAATACCACGCCTAGCCTATCGGGGCCTTATGTGGTTCGCCACTCCAAGTTCCGGGGCTCAGGTTGCCGATTTCAACCACTGAACAGCAGGTCCTTGTGACTATGGGGTTTACCCCGTCTGCTGTTCATCCCATCTAGGTGTGTAATAAAAAAAACTTGTTTAACTTCATTTCACTGAAATTTTGAGCGATTTCGATTTTCTATTTAGAATCTACACTCACGTGAAGGGATAATTAGTGAACTGAAGACCTCGTTAGATCGATGCGAATCTGAGTTGCTCTCAAGTCGGAAAGTTGAAATTCATCTTCGCAAAGACCTGGAATTCCATCGTGCCGAGAGCAGGAAACGTGAGACGGAATTACTTCACAAACATAATATCGCATTAAATGCAATAAAACATTCGGAAGAAGAAGAGCGAGCGCATTTACGATCTGCGCTAACTCGCATTCAAGCGGATTTGGATGCTGAGCGTGTCAGAGCTGCCAGCGATTTAGAAGAAGCTCTGAGAAAAGCATCTGAACAAGCGGAAAAGTCGGCTTTGGATGCCGCACAAAAAGAATTTGGATTACAATTGCGTGTTCAAATGCTTGAAGACATATGTGAACGGGCACAGAACGCCAAAAAGAAGGCGATTTCTGAAGCAGAATCCAAAGAATTGCAGTTAGCTAATGTGCAGTCAGAGCTTCAGGTTGCACTACACAATGCGGAATCACTTACACTCAGAATCTCAGAGGCAACAAGTGATAAGGAGATTGCTGAGCAAAAAATGTCCGCGGCAGAAAATGCACTTATTCGTGCGGAGCAGAAATGGAGGGAAGAAAAGAGTGAACTTCTGAATATTTTGGAGGTAACCAAGTGAGTACAAATTTTGTAAAGTTTTCATCATGTTTTTTGGCTTGTAACTTACTTGCAGCGAGATGTCTGATATGTTGTTCATTTTTAACTATTCTCATTCACAAATGGGATTTTTCAACTACCTCCACTCTGTGCTATGCTTCATTAATCAGTGATAAGAGGATTTAAGAAAAAAATACAGACTTCACACAAGTTGCTAGCTGTATACAGCTTCTTGCTTTCTCCCGAAGGCTTTCGCAATAATAAGATAACTTGGGGACCAGGGTAATTCCGCGCTCGATGTCTCGTGAACTTTGCATGCTGTTTTCCACAAGCAATGCGACTCACGTTTAATCAATAATAAAAATAACAAAACCTGATCCGGAAAAGGTATTCTTCACTCTGATTTGGTAAGTGATATTGTACCATAAAGAGGAAAATTTAAAAGGGTAAATTACGNCGCTACGTTGACACCTGGCTTTCGACTCTTCAACCGAGGACTCGAGAGATGCTTATGAATTTCTACGCCATCGTGATCGTTTCCGCCCGGAAGTTTCAATTGCAAACAAGGCTCCTTGTTGTAGATGACAGATAGAAATGTTCATAATGTATCCTAAATACTGAAGCCTACTTTACGAAATTCCAAATGGTAACGAATTGACAGAACAACACGAGTAGCGAACAAGCTCGTTTTCGGTAACTTCATCCTCTGGTTAATAGTTATTTACATTTAGTGAATAAACATGCAACAAATAATTTCAAAACGAAAATGCGTTGATTGGACGGCAAGGGAGTGGTGAGAAGTGGTTAGGAAAGAGGTGAAAACAAAAAAATTGTTAATCCATGGTTTAGAATAGGGAATCGTGAAAACAGAGAAAGGAGAGGGAGGGGGAAGAGGGATGAAACAGGAAGGGCGAGGTCACACACTTAGGTGAAAGGGTCACGAGAAGCGTCATGGGTTAATTGACGGTCAGTGTCGGGTCTGGGTCAGGGTAATTGTAGGGCTTTGACGAATGAGACCAGCAGGAACCTCTATCTTTGAGTAAACTACCTGATCGTCCTGCCTATGTAGCTTGCCGAACATGTGCAAACAAAAGAATAGGTCAACATGGAGGAAGTGAGGATAGGCAATTTATCTTTGAGATTCAATGACAACAAAAAACGGCTGGTGAATTGCGTACGTAACCGGGCCTCAGGAAACGTTCGAGCGATCGACTTATCTAGACGTCTTGTTAATAAATCGCATTTGTAGTCACCTTTGAACGGGAGACGTATATAGATTTGCTTTTAGCTTACTGTAGTCACCGTTGTTCTTTTGGCTCTTTCACAGAGATTCTTTTCAATAAATCTCTCGGAATAGCCATTGTTCAATAGGGCTTGCCTGAGCCGGTTCAATTCTAACTCCAGGTTTTCTGCTGAACATAAATTTCTGACGCGAGCAGCTAGGGATCGGATGAGGTTTCGCTTACGCCTCAAAGGTACAAAACCGGCGAAATGAATGTACTGACCTGTCCATGTGGGTTTCCTGTAGACTACTCTACTAATTGTCCCGTCCGAGCGCTTGGTAAGATGAACATCTAGAAAATGGAATGTTTTGGCCGTTTCCATTTCCGACGTAAAATTGAGCCCGTTGTGAGCACGGTTAAACGTGCTGGTCAGTGTTTACAACAGTATATTCTCGTCAACTAATATGAAGATATCATCAACGTAACGGCAATAGAATGGTAAACCTTTTATGGTATCGCGGAGTTCCTGGTTTTTCAATTTTGCGATGAATATGTCAGCCAAAAGTGGGCCCAGAGGTGATCCCACTGCAACTCCGTTCGTTTTCCTGTACAATTCTCCGTTGAAGGTACATCGTAGTAGTAAGTCCTTCAGGTTAGCCAATGGAATACCGATGTTTATCTCGTTGACCATGATGTAGTCACATAAATAGTTTATTGTTTCCCCCAAAGGAACATTGATGAACAACGATGTCACATCTAATGATGCCATAGATAAACCAGTCGTGTTTCGTTTGCGTATAAGTTCCACAAATTGGAATGTATCCTTCAAACTGTAGTGTGAAATCTGTCTGCGAACAGGTTCCAGAACATCCACAAGCCATTGGGCAACCGAATGGTAAGAAGAAGCGCTTATGTCCAAAATTGGTCTTAGAGGTAGAGAGATGATATTCTTGAGAAAAGATAACCGCTTCACTTGAGTCCCTGAGGGATCAGAATGTCATCTCTAAAGCAGCATACGAACAGCTGAGACCAACGGGAACCTCTATNGTCTTTACGGTTTACCTAAAGTTCATAAACCGGGCGTACCTCTAAGACCAATTTTGGACACGAGCACTTCTCCTTACCAACAGCAACAGCAGAAGCGGTAGCAATAAGGTTATTGCGACCAACTCTATGTTCACAAAAACAATTTGTTAAAGCCCTACAGCTACCCTGGCCTAGACCCGACACTGAACATCAATTCACCCATGACCCCTTGACTTAAGTGCGTGACCTTACCCTTCCTGTTTCATCCCTCTTCCCCCCTCTCCTTTCTCTGGTAACGAATTCTCTCCCAAACCACGCTCGAATCCGTGACGACTATTCTCAGCATTCCCAACCCGTTCACTCAATTCTAACTGCCTCAAACTGTGTGAATATAGACGATCGAATAGCATCATTCAGTCGATGACTGTCCTACCGAAACCGGCGATTACAATGAGGTTTCGAGGAAATAGCTCCAAAATTTATACTTTAGCTAAAAAAATGAAATAGGAAAGTTTTACACTGGATGAGTCTCCTAATACACTGCCCCTATGATTAGTATTTCTTTGGCTCGGAAATCGGTGGTGCGATAGTTTTTAGTTCATAACAGTTTCACAACCGTAGGACAGGATTGACCGTACGGCGGTACAGTTTACGCATCCTTTCAATTTCGAAGGAACATCATGTTGATGCCAAAGTTGTTGCAGTCTCATATTCCGCGCGAGTATCGAATGTGAGTGCGGTCAATTTGTTAATTGGGCTACCGTCGTTCGTCACATGGACGGTTCTTATTTGTTCTAGATGACTGTAATTTCGCGTTGTCAAAGCAGGAGTTGACATTTATGTGAAATATACTTACTTCGGTGTCCACACTCTTCAAATTGCACGCAATACAAATAAGTGTACCGGTACAATCAAAGTTCTATTTTTGTGCACTCGTGAGAATGGAATAATCCTCTCGGGCATCACATCGCAAGTTTTTTCCGGTCTTCATTTGATCACTGACGCAAATTTCATCCATAACCAGCTACCTAATATTTGTTATTCTTCAGAACTCAGGACGAACTGCATCGCAAAGAAGTTACTATAGCAATGAATAAACTTAAAGACGAGAAAGCCGCGGTACAAGCTGAAAACCGGCGTCTACTGGAGTCGCTGGCCAAGGAGAACGCAGAGACCCGAAAAGCACTCAATTCACTGAAAGAAGAAAGTAATTTGCGCCAGTTGGCGGAGCACACTGCACGAAAATTGCGAAATGAATGTGACCGATTGCGTCAAGATTTGAATCAGGCTTTGCTCCCGACAGTTCGAAACGACCCGCTTGTTCCAAGTTGTGATCACATGCATCTGATAGCACAACTTGAACGGTTACAAGTTAACTGTGAACGACTGGAAGAGGAGAATGCCCGTCTCAAACGATCCATCTCGATTATGTCTGAACAAGCACAAAAAACAGCTCAAATTGTCCAGTTGACCAAGAGACCTGATGGAAACGGACCAGAAAACACGAAATATGCGAGTGAACCAAACGAGCAAATACTACTGCTAAGGGGAAAACTCCAATCGTCCGTAAGAGTTATCCGCAAGTTGGCACAAGAAAAACATGCCCTCAAAGAACTGAGCAATCGTTTGCAAGCACAGATTCGTCAATTAGAAGCAAAGCGAGTGGTCGTGAACGCCTCATACCAAGATCAACAATCACATGGTTTACCTAAGGTTCATTACTCTGGGAGAAAATCTCCTACTGTTAAGATTAATTTAAGTTGTTCTGACGATCGCTGCTTTCTTGAACCAGAGAAAGAAGGCACACGCTTTCTAAATAAAAATCCAGTCCCTCCACTATCGCTCATCGATCCAGATGATGCGGTCTCTTCCGTCCCGGGCAGGGAGTCTGTTTCGGCTATATTTCAAATGGTTGATACAAGTGNCCCACAGAAGTCAGCTCCGTGATCAGCAGACATTCTAATGGGACGGGGCTTCAAGTACGGGGCAAGAGAAAACCAATTCGCTCCTCAAAATGTACGGAAACTGTGCACAACTAACCAATTGTATAGTTCCAAGAGGAACCACTCGGAGACTGAGCATTGATAACTACACAACTGTATATAGATTTTTCCCTCCCGATGGTGTACTTTCAATCTAGTAACGATGACGAGCCATGGTGTTGTCTGAAGATACTGCCTATCCCCCTGTACAACGACTGGACTATAATCCCTGTTTTATTTTTATTACAACTACTTAAAAACTCGTTACATTCGTACATTTGCAGGCGTACCCACAAGCTGGGCAGTCAACGTACCAATCAATGCGGACAGGTCAATACTAACATTCACTGACCTTGTAATAGAGTAAGCCCGCATGACGTACGTGGGGTGGCAGGCCGCGTTGGTCAATCATGTGATGCACGGTGAACGTTTCGGTCAACTGAACATAATCACCGTCTCGTTCGGGCTTTGGACTCCGGACCCACTGCATAGAAGTCGTGTGTTACCACTGTGCCAAACAGCTCACACCAAGGCTGAACCGAACCGCCAGGTGATGTTTGTTTAGGCACCGTCTTCAGGAAAAATCAGTCAGTTCGTTTTAGGTCCGACAGAAACTAAGGGAGGCAGTTGACTATCTGTTAATTCCGAACGGAAGCCTCTCGCCAAATCAGGTCTTCCATGCAGGTTAGGGTCTGACTAGCCACAAACCTACTAGGCTAGGTGAATAATTCACATTGAACTCACAGTTACTTGAGAGTTGTGATATGGGATTACTGATTTTGATCTGAACTGACCACCACCTCGACTTCACCTCCTTGCACAATCCTCAGTTCTTCTNGGAGTACCCGTACCGAAAGTAGACAGTGAGTAAACGTATTCGGCAGATTGCTTGCCGCAAAATAGGTTTTTGCGGTATAACATATTCGACTTGGCTCTCCTTCGATGTGACTGTTTGGAGGCTTCGGAAACGCTAATATGGTTGTGCGCGTAATCAAACATTCGCAAACTTTCATTTCAATTTTCAGTTTGTACCACCATTAACCATGAACTTTCGTGCGCCGGTTTTGGTTGCCCATTTGGGTGAACAATAAGAGGAAAACAGGGAGGTTGAAAGTAGGATCGAAGAGGAAATTGAGAATTAGTAAATGAATTTAAAAAGTATCTCCACTGGTTTAATAGCAGCTAAGTAACCCATCCTCCATCACAAAATAAAAGAGATATGA